AAGACGGATTTTATAAAATAAAAAGCAGTTGAAACTGCATTTTTATGAATAAAAATTTGACAAACTATTTATCGTTTTATGATGAGTAAAATTTTTTCGTCACATTTGCAGCTTTTAAGTAATGCATAAACGCAAAGTGCGAGGCCTTTCGGACCGCGAGGCATAGGTGGTGGCCAACGTTGCCCATATGCTGCCCTTGGTCATAGAAATGATGTAATTTGAATATAAATTATTTATAAATACGTATGTCAAGTTTTATTACTACGTAAAATATATTTAAGAGTTTACGACCACTGTGCCGGGTGAGATGTTGTTGAAACAAAAAAAGTTATGCATTCCATCATGTACATAAACAGTATCGTAATTCGCCAAGTGCAAATCAGCAAATTTGTAAAATTTTTGTTTATTTTGACAATCCGGATAATCGAAAATCCAGATAATAGAGGTCCGGATAATCGAGGTTCTACTGTATTTAGTATTAATCATTAATTAATATTGAATGTTAGCGGAGTTATAGCCCAATAATTTAGGCGGTTATTTGGTTATGTTTCTACGTGAATTAATAACAGGATAAACTAATTTAATTTAATAAAGCATTTTATTTTTAGTTTTAATAATTTGGCAATTATAAAAAATATATAACTGTTAATTAGAAAAAATAACTAATTAAAAAGTTGGAGAGGTGATAGTGTATGTGCATAGTAAGTCAAATTATGTTTTATTTTGTTAATGTGCCATACTGTAAAGGACGTGAGGATTGGGGAATATGTAGAAAATTGGCCAGGGGAAGACAGAGAAAATCATAGAATTTAAAACAACAATTACAGTAGGAACCTTATTTATATGTACAGTTCAAGAAATCTGAGAGGAAAGTAGAATTTGGTTTTCAAAAATTGAAATTGATTTGTCTGTATGTTGTTATATTGTCATCCAATGCCCATTGAGTTAATGAAATTAGATTGGAATCATTTTTTAGTTTATTTAACAATGAAAAATATTTCAGTTTTAAAAAAGTAGAAAAGATTTTATGTATTTTTATTATTGTATTCAAAGAAGTTTAAATATTTAATTTTCTGATTATAAATGTTTCATAATTGGTTAATATTTAAACTTATTATTTTATTTAATGGTATCTAAATATTTTACATTTATATTCTATAAATTGTTATAGAATTTTATATTTGATTCAATAGTTTTCTCTATTATTTCTGTGTAAATAAATACATTCTGCTTCTTTGGCTTTATTTATTCCTTGAATTTATACAATTCTAAATTACAAATCCAATATTTACAAAGAATAGTTAGCCCAATTACAGGATTAAAAGCAACACTAGTGCGAACTTATGTTGTGAATAAATTTAATTTCTGAAAATAAAATTTATGCTGTTTTCTTTTTTAAATTGTCTAAATTGTGCTTTTCATGCATACAAATCAGAAAATTTTTCGTGCCTATCGTGCACTCGGCAAGTGGTGAGAATGGGACTCAACATATTAAGATCAAACAAGACACAATGGTTCTGCTGATCCCTTATGAGAAAACGTGATGTGAGTTATTGTATATTTAAAGAAATGCATTGTAATGACATTGTACTTATTCAAAATTAATAAAGAAGGAAGAGTTATAACAAAATATGAATCATATTAAGAATTTTAAACATTAGAGGAAACAAATTTAAACCAAAATATAGTATATTTCCTTTAACTTGAATTAATAAGGGGTAAAAGTGGTCCAAGTTTACAAAAGTCTGTTCTTTCATAAACTTTCATAAACTTGGCTGTTACATCCCACTAACTCAGGGTTAGCAGGGTGTTTTCTCCAATGACACGGAAAACAATAAGTGGTTATATAGTAGAGTAATTTATCAATCAGCACTATACAGTTTTACTGAGCTTTAAATTCAGCAGTATAACCTAATAAAAGGTTATACTGAATTTATTATTACAGAAATGAGCTCAAAAAATTTTATGACAATGCAATATACAGTCTTTAGTAAATGATTGACTATAGTAATAATATATGGTGTCTCAAATACTTCCAGGTATTGAAAACACTCATTAATTATAATTTCATTATAATTGTAATTACTTGTTAATAATAATTTTTCTATTGTCAAGAAATTTCAAATTACTGTACAATTTTTTGAAAAAGTTTGTTCAAGTTATGTAAAGTCCAAAGTTGGTAGGATTTACTGTGCCAATGTAATAAATAAGAGGAATGTAACTAATAGAAAAAACTCATTTATGATCGATAGATTATACAATACAATAATAAACAGTGATAGAACAGAAATATAAAATCAACAGAAAACTTTAATATTGATAAATGTTTTCACTGAATATTTGCTGGTATTAAACATTTGGCCATTGTCAGGCTAGATCTTAACTTTCACTTTAAAACTGAATCAAATTTAAATATACATTTAGCATTATTTCAAATACATTTGAATATGAAACAAAAATTTTTACAAATACATTAAATTAAACATAATATATAAAAATTAAAGATTTTATACAAAATACAATCATAAAAATGTTAGTCAACACCAACTCCTTCGTGCATTAGAATTTTTTAATTAGAAATTATTTGAAGTTAGAGTTTATAAATTATTAAATAATAATTTGTTGTTTATAAATATATTAAATTTAATAAAAATCAATAATTTGTTGATTAAATTGTTAATAAGTTATGATTTTACCAAATGGTTAGGATAATTTCTGGATTTAACATTCACAGTTATTTTCTTTTGATATAATTTAATTAAGTGTTCAATTAATTGTTTATTCATGTTACTTAATTAAGCTTGCTTTGTTTTTATACATTTTAAATATTTAATTAGTATTCATCTTTTTCTTCATCTATTCAATAAATGAAGAGCAAAAAAGATCATTTTACATGATATTAGGATTTTAATGCTCATTTGTATTGTTTTTAAAAAACAAACATCAGAATTCAACAGAGATGACTGTCACTTGTCATTTTTACATTGTATAACATTAAACAATAAAAATTTCAGACAATTATTTAAGTTAGAACCTGGCTTCTAATGTGATATGTAATTAGAACATCCTTATTAATTAATAAAATTTTTATGTTATTAATTATTATTGATTGATTAATATAATTGTTTCTTTTATAATTAGTTAAGTTTTAAATTTGCTTAGATGATTATTAATAATTTAATAATTAATTAATAATCAGTATTTATTATGTTGTATGAATACTTCTAGGTCCTCCTATCGTATGAGAATATTTCTTTTACCATGTTGTCCGTACAGTTTTGAAGGAAAATATCACAGAACACATGCTGGTTGTAGTCAGTATCAGTCTTATCTCTATTTTATACAAGAAGTATGTGAGAAAATGGGTTTCGAAGTAAAGGAAGATAAATTAAGAATTCCATCTACAAAAAGAGTTAGTTAAAAAAATATATTTATATTTTATAATTCTATAATATGTACTGTATATAAATATAATACTTTTATACATTTATTTATTTCAGTTATGTTTTGTTTGCCTGTCTCGTACCTATTCATCATCAAAAGAAAGTGAAATTGATTTTCAAAGAACTGCATACATAAATAAATTTCTCAAACAAAATGCAAATAATTCTGGGAAAGTTAAAGAAGTTTCTAAATTATGTGATAAAAATCTTCCGACCGACGAGATTCAACATAACTGGATTTCTGGGTTTCGGCCTCGCAACAGGAATCAAGAAGTATGTAACTGCAGTACTCTGGATCAAAATTATATAGATGATGTAGTTAAACAATTAGCAAGTTTACTGTTAAATTTACAATGTTGTTTTATTACTGTTTCAACTAACGACAATCAAATTCATTGGAATAGAGGAGGTATGTATTTTTTGTTAAATATTTATAAATCACTTTATGTTCATGCATATTATAGAATAAAGCATAATTAAGTAGTTAAGTTTACAGTTTTTAGTTGTTCATCTTTAGTTTAAATGAAAACAACAAATTAATTTGAACTGAAGATGGAAAATATAAATTTTAGTAACATAACTAGAGTTTATATTTTGATTTCTGATACATGCAATATTTTAACATCTTTGTGAAGCTACAGGGTAATCAAATGGAAAGTTTGCCAGTGTAGAGTAGACTTGGTGATGCTGGAAATTGATGATGACTGAGTGACTCATCAGTATACATTACTGATTTATTTATATAGAGTTTCAAATGTTATCCATTGAGTTCATTCTAAATGAATATTTAAGTTTTTGAATGTTTTTCATGACACTTAACAGGGCAGAAACAAGTATGGCTGGTTGACAGAATTGCCAATTCTATTCCTTGGAAGTAAACTTTTTGGAATGTATTTTGAAAATTAAGGATCACCCATAATATAAAGATGTTTTATTTATCATATCATATGAAATTAAAGAAGAATGTTATAGTATTTAACAGATTTACTATTTGAAATACAGTGGTACCTCAGGATACGAAATTAATCCGTTCCGACACTGAGATCGTATCATGAAAATGTCGTAAGGTGAATCATTTTTTCCCATACGATTACATGTAAAACCAAATAATTCGTTCCAATACGAAAAACACACTCAAATTAAAGCTAAGTAATACATTAAAGAAATAATAACTATAATAAGGAAAACACTGAAAAATGCATTTTGTAGTTGTAAATGTATAAATAACCGTAATAGAATAATAATTGATTTAAAAAAAAATGTAGTTTTATTCGCATTTTACCTTTGAGGATAGACCACGGTGGAGGTGTAAACTGGTGGCGGAAGAGAGGGAGAAGGGAAATGATACTAAAACTTAACTTACATAACATAATATAACAATAACTTAAAAATAACTTAGAAAAGATTTAAAAAATTAGCGTTGTTTTATATATTTTTTTAATTTTTATTCACTGCATTTTGCTTTCTTTCCTTCACTTCCACCAGCACTTTCACTGGATAAAGGTCACTTGGTAAAATACCTATTCAAAGACGTTTGGCTTTGCCTACTTTTTAAAATGTTTCTAAAATGAGTTAGGCAAATGTCATTACTCCGAGCAGCAATACGGCCAGTGTGAACCTTTTCGGGATGTTTCTTTTCAATAAAATCAGTCACTTTCTGATAATACATCATGATTTCCTTTAGCGAGCGAGATCCTTCCACGACGAAGCAAACAAGCGGACTGAGATCGAAGAACAGAAGTGAATAAAAAATGGCGCTGCGAACTAATGTAACGTCGTATGGTGAGTTTTTGTTCATATCGTGGAGCAAAAATATGTTCGAATTTCGTGTTGTATCCTGAAAATTTCGTATGCTGGGGCGTTCGTATCCTGAGGTACCACTGTATATAAAACTCTTCTGTAACTGCATTCAACTAATACTAACACCTCGACACAAAAACCTTAAAACATCTGGCCTTTTTATTCACTTTTCTAACGTTTTTGGTTAGTTTGAATGGCCTCCCTCGGGAACAGAAAAATTGAATGATTCCAATTTCTATAATGACATTTGTTTTGGAACTTTTTAAACTTTGAATTTTCTTATATGTCTAGTGTGCAAGCTCGTACATAAAGAATTACAATCTATATTGGTTACTTGTACCACTATATACATAAACTATACATACATATAATACCTGAATAAATAACTAAATAAATAAAACAAATAAGTAAATAAATGCAAAAATACATTAACACAACTGCTAATATAGAGAAGGCCACCATTGTGTCTGCTGTTTGTCCCTTTTTTATAATAGATTATTCATATTATGCCTGCTCTCCAAGCCGCTGAGACTTTACTCGACTCTCTGAACTTTATTGCTAATCCTTCCTGGTTTGTCTTATGTTTCTGCCATGCTTCTGCATATTTCAGGTGTCTCTTATCCTGGATCTTTTGTATTATTTTAGCTCTTTCCCAGTCCACTGTGACTTCTGTCGGGTCTGTCATAACATACGTTGTTAGTGTGGTGACTGGATGCTCTTTCTGCACATTCCTTTTATGCTCTTTTAGCCTTTTTTTCAATGACCTCCCTGTGGCTCCAATGTATTGGGTTATTTGGAAAGTAATTTCGTTTTTTTCAGTTGAAAAAAACACAATATTTTTATAATAAATAAATATTTTATTGAATTATATATCGGCCATTTTGATCAAATATTAGTTGTCATCGTTTCTGGTAGTAGCATGATTTCACATTCATAAAAGTTTTGATCGTGCTTACAAAAAACTGATCCAAGTGATTTTTGACATTGTTATTTCAAGTAAATGTCTTACAGTTAAAAAAAATTGTATAGACCGGAACAAATAATAATCTGAGTGTGCTCCATCTGGCGAGTATGTTTGGTGCGATAGCACGTCCCATCTAAGTTATAACAGTTTCTGACGAGTTACCAAACTTGTGTGAAATTTGATATTATCGTGGTAAAACACTACACCTGTTTTGTTGATCAATTCTGGCCGCCTGTTTTGTTGATCAATTCTGGCCGCCTTTTCTGTTTGATGATATTACTCAATTTGTTTGCTTGAAGGCAGTACACTTTTGAATCAATTGTTAAATTGTCTGGTAAAAGCTCCATAAAAAAATTTCCTCAAAATCCCCCCAAAGAGAGCATTTCTCTTTAAGAACATGTGAAACCCTATATCAAGCTTTGAAACAAAACCAATTTGTTTCAAGTAATCATAAACGGTTCAATTTGACAAATTTAATCTCTCAGTGATTTCACGTGTTGTTATTCGGCAGTTTGCTTCAATCGATACCTTTATCATTGGCTCAATTGGCCATCCAGAACGTGGTGCATCTTCAATATTGAAATTGCCAGAACAAAATTTTGTAAACTAGTTTTGGCACTGTCATTCTGTCAATACATCTTCATATACATCACACAATTTTTTTCTCACTTGAACAGCATTCTTACCTTTTCGGTAATAGAAGAGCAAAATATGGCGAAAATGCTGCTTTAAATCTTCCATATTTGATGGGACACAAAAAATAAACAATTGCACAAAATCAAACAAAATTTTTTACAAATAAGCCTTAAAATGCTAGCTGTCAAAATATATAATGATAATACGGTTTAGAATGAAAATGGCGGGAAAAATGCAACTAATCTGTCTAGTGGTAAAAAAAACGAAATTACTTTCCGAACAATCCAATAGTATAGTTCTTTTTCAAATTTTGTTATAGAAATCAGAATCATTCGGATTTTTCTGTTCCCAAGGAAGGCAAATCAAACTGGCCGAAAACGTTAGAAAAGTGAATAAAAAGGCTGCATGTTTAAAGATTTTTGTGTCAAGGTGTGAAATATATAAATCAGCGTTTTTCAAAGTAGGCGATAACGCCCCTTTGTGGGCGCGGCAGGCTTTCAGGGGGGCAGTAGAAGGCTCAAACAGAATTGGGGGGCGTTAAGGAAATATAGAGGGGCGACGGCAGACAAATTCTATATATAAAAATTCGATGGAATATATATAAAATGTTGACATTTTATATATTTTTTATTTTTTATTGAAGGTCACAACTTGAATATTTCTAACACATTGACTTTTATTTTAGCTCAGCGTTTCTCAAAGTAAGCAATAACGCCCCCTTCTGGCGCGATGAATAGATCTATGATAGAGGCAGGGTATTGAACGGTGACCAAAGGCAAAATTGGGGCTGATAAGAGGAAACATTGCGTTTAATGGTTTCCAGATGATGAGAACAATGTACAGTAAGGNAATTATTTTAATCGTAATTTGTTTATTTTTAATTTAAAACGTGGAAATTCATTAAATTCATCTTTATTTTCATACGAGACAATTATTTTATACATTATTTTTTAATGTCTTTGATGTAAATAAACAAGTTTACATTTCTTCTAGGGTTATTTGGAAGGAGATTTTATTTTACTTTTATCAATAGAGAAAGAAGCTGTTAATATTATTCGACTAACGTATTGGGATAGTCTAAAAAAGAAAAAATAATAATAAAAGTTAGATCGAGATTATTAAATAAATGTTATTTTAGAAAAAATTTTATTTTATTTTCCTTTAATAAAAACAAATAATAATAAAAAAGAATTAAGTTAAAATTCTAAAAACTGAAGTGAATTTTGATGCCAAGAAAGAGCGAATTTTTAAAAATTTTCTTTTTTTTCCTCCTGACAAAAATGTTTTTCTTCCTTAAAAATTGTATTTTTTTAAAGGCTTTTATTTGCCTTATGGCTTCTTTTTAAGGCCTAGGCTTTACGTTAGCCTTTACGTTATAACTGTATTTTTGAGTCTTTTTTTTAATTCTTATACCGGCCTTTTTTATCTTATAAGCCTTATATCGGTTTCCTTACTTCGTATTGGCCGTCTTATCTTTTTATTTTAGATCCAGCATTGTTTTTTTAATATAAACAACAACGCAAGATCTAAAATAGAAGCCTCGTATTTAATAAGCCTTAAATTAGATTAGCCAATTCGGCTTATATTATCTCGCATTGGCATTTTTATCCAACGAGCCTTCCGTTAGCCTTTTTACCTCGTATCGGTCTTCTTATATTACGAGCCTTTTTTTATCTTACGAGCTTCGTATCGGCCGCAACGTCCGAATTGTTTTTCGAGCCTTTATACGTATTTAAAAGGAAAATAAAAGGATTTTGTTTTTTAGTCCAGGCGAAGGCCAATATCTGTTTAACTAATCTCTAATGCAAATTCGCCTAATTTGCTTAACGTTCCACTAACTTCGATTAATATTGTCGTACTCTTGTCAACATCCATCACACTAACGTCAATAAAACGAATATTGGAAATTAAAGCTAAAAATCGATGGATGGAATCAATCTTCTCCCCTTTATTTTTATCTCTCTCGATGCTCGCAGCTAAATCCTTTACTCGGCCACGCCGTCTCTTTTGTTTTTTACTTTGAAAAATTAAACTCGTGTCGTTCGATATTCCAATTGTTTTTCGATTTTATTTTTTATATTCAATTTTTGATGTTTTTCTTTTATTTTCTGCGGGGAGATTTCTTCCAATTGAATCGTCTTAACTCTTATCTTTGATTACATTATTCGGATTTTCTAGAAATTTCACCAAGCTCCGGGGATTCTCTATTCTGCGTCGTTTGTATCGGAAACACCACGATGGAATCTTTCAAAATGGTATTTTTTTTAAGTGTTTTAAACTTAAATCGATGTAAAATTGGATAAAATCTATCAAAATAACTTTTTTTTGGAACATTATCGTGTTAAAAACGAATCGATGTACCCTATCAATGATAAGGTTCAATGACCCAACAATGGGTGTGGTTAAGGAACGACCAAACATTCCGTTAACATAGGAACTTAATTAAGATCAGCAGTCAATAAACGCGTTTAAAATTGTGTATTTTTAGAAGATAAAACGCTTTGCTCTACATAATACTACGATATTTTACTAAATTATATGTATTTTTATATTATTTAAGTGGAGAGAAATCAATATTATATCAGTGGCTTTCAACGTAAACAGAGGAAATTCGTGTTTACTGTTTGCCATCTCGAGATTTTCTTCTAATTAAACACGTATCGGGTAGAAAATTTTGAGATTTTCTAAATTTACGCAATTTTCTAACAAATAATACTACTTTCGACGATAAAGAATTAAAATTTTTAGTAGAAATTAGGAGTTTCTGGGAGCTGACTCCAAGGTGTTTCCATGTATTTTAATAAATAACAAAGTCTGTGTATGTTTTATAAATGAAGATATAGTAAAGGAGCGGTATTCTTTGATGTCTTCTTTGTTTATTAGCAAGATAAATGGATCTACTTTCTTCTACCCAAATGTACTGAATAAGAAATATGGTTAGTTCGATTGCTTCCTACTCTTTAGCAATTCGCCCTTGGGATGAAGAAGAACAAAATGTGTGTTTTTTTAACGAATATCTCAAAAAATACATTTATTCATTATATTATCTTTATAATTATTCACGAGTGGGGATTTTTAAGGGTTTTTTTTTAGCACGAAACTTAAAATTGGGAAGAGGGAGAAGAGAGGGATGCGCGACTTTAATTCGAGTTTGAAATATTAGAATGTTCTTGCTATCACTTAAGTTATCTGCACGGAAATAGAGATCAAGGTGATACCTGTACCTGAGAGGAGTTATTCATATATGACGCATGCGTGATGTCCGTCACGCATTCAGTCGAGCGAAGGACCCGAGCTACACGATCTCGCCATGTGCTTCTCCTACCAGCTTAACTCCTATAGGTAAGCATTCTAATCAAATTATCGCCTTTAATTATCGATTTTCTTGATTATAATTATTAAGAATGACCAATTTTATCGGTTCGTTAACGAAATCGCGCTTGGGACTTTTCATAATCTTAGAAAACGGAGGTACGAATTTAAAAATCAGCTGTTTTTCGTACACGGAATTTCATGTTTTCTCCCTTTGATTTGTTATTTTTACGTCTCCTACGTTTGAAATCTGTAAGAAATTCGCTTCTCAACTGGTAGGTCGCGAACCCCTCGAGGGTGAAGACTGAATTTATTTTAATAATGTCACTGTACCGAGTGTAAAAATGGTTGGGAAACGACACACCACGTCGTCCTTAAATCGTCTTTCTAACCTACTTTAAAGGATGCTTAATTGAATTATTTTAATCGTAATTTGTTTATTTTTAATTTAAAACGTGGAAATTCATTAAATTCATCTTTATTTTCATACGAGACAATTATTTTATACATTATTTTTTAATGTCTTTGATGTAAATAAACAAGTTTACATTTCTTCTAGGGTTATTTGGAAGGAGATTTTATTTTACTTTTATCAATAGAGAAAGAAGCTGTTAATATTATTCGACTAACGTATTGGGATAGTCTAAAAAAGAAAAAATAATAATAAAAGTTAGATCGAGATTATTAAATAAATGTTATTTTAGAAAAAATTTTATTTTATTTTCCTTTAATAAAAACAAATAATAATAAAAAAGAATTAAGTTAAAATTCTAAAAACTGAAGTGAATTTTGATGCCAAGAAAGAGCGAATTTTTAAAAATTTTCTTTTTTTTCCTCCTGACAAAAATGTTTTTCTTCCTTAAAAATTGTATTTTTTTAAAGGCTTTTATTTGCCTTATGGCTTCTTTTTAAGGCCTAGGCTTTACGTTAGCCTTTACGTTATAACTGTATTTTTGAGTCTTTTTTTTAATTCTTATACCGGCCTTTTTTATCTTATAAGCCTTATATCGGTTTCCTTACTTCGTATTGGCCGTCTTATCTTTTTATTTTAGATCCAGCATTGTTTTTTTAATATAAACAACAACGCAAGATCTAAAATAGAAGCCTCGTATTTAATAAGCCTTAAATTAGATTAGCCAATTCGGCTTATATTATCTCGCATTGGCATTTTTATCCAACGAGCCTTCCGTTAGCCTTTTTACCTCGTATCGGTCTTCTTATATTACGAGCCTTTTTTTATCTTACGAGCTTCGTATCGGCCGCAACGTCCGAATTGTTTTTCGAGCCTTTATACGTATTTAAAAGGAAAATAAAAGGATTTTGTTTTTTAGTCCAGGCGAAGGCCAATATCTGTTTAACTAATCTCTAATGCAAATTCGCCTAATTTGCTTAACGTTCCACTAACTTCGATTAATATTGTCGTACTCTTGTCAACATCCATCACACTAACGTCAATAAAACGAATATTGGAAATTAAAGCTAAAAATCGATGGATGGAATCAATCTTCTCCCCTTTATTTTTATCTCTCTCGATGCTCGCAGCTAAATCCTTTACTCGGCCACGCCGTCTCTTTTGTTTTTTACTTTGAAAAATTAAACTCGTGTCGTTCGATATTCCAATTGTTTTTCGATTTTATTTTTTATATTCAATTTTTGATGTTTTTCTTTTATTTTCTGCGGGGAGATTTCTTCCAATTGAATCGTCTTAACTCTTATCTTTGATTACATTATTCGGATTTTCTAGAAATTTCACCAAGCTCCGGGGATTCTCTATTCTGACTATAATGAACCGTTTAGTATTCTCGGTTGCAATCATTACTTTAATGGAAAAGTNTTGGATATAACTTTATGGAACAAAGGGGGCGGTGGATCGAAAAAGTTTGAGAATCACTGATATAAATAATATACAATGCCATAAATGAAATTAGTGTTGTAAGGTATTATGCATAATTATTTACCATACTTTTATATCATAGAATTTATACAACAGGAAATCATTCTTTTGACCTAAAAAAAACTTTTTTTATCATGTTAACGATTATTATTGAATTGAATAAAATTGCAAAATTAATTAATTGTGTCATTAAATATTTCACAAAGACAGCAGTGCTGAATTGGTAAAGGTGTCAGTCTGCAGCACTTGAAAATCCAGGTTTATATTTGACTTAGATTTTTAGAATTTTCATAGGTTGTTTGACATGGATATATTGGTGCCATTGGTTCAACTAATAGCTTACTTGTTAGAGGTTTAATATTTTTATTATTTTTAATATATGTAGTTTTTATTTTTACATGAAATAAGTTATTTTGATAATTAATTTACTGGAATGAAATATTTTGATTTTTTTTTTATATTTAGGGGAGATGACAATTAAAGATTTAGCTTCCTCGTTAGACCCAGAATTATTAAAAAAATTAAAAAGTCAATATGGTGGCCTTCAAACTTTATTAAAAAATCATAGACATATTTTTTCAGGTAAATATTTTTCTTTCTTTAAGTTTAAGATATTCTTTGTCAACTAAAAAATCTTAAAATCATTATTTTGTAAAATAACAGAAGGAAAATTTTGTATTATACCTTGCATAATGTTTATTATGTTAGTTAAGGAAGTTTTAGAACAAAGGTAACTATTTACTGCTTAAACAGAGTGACAATTCAGCTGTTCAGCTGAATATAAATAATGTAAGGAAATAAAAATATTTGAAACCTAAATTTCTGTAGCTAAATGAATACAGGAAGAAAGTCAAATGCCATTTTCAGTTGACAATAACTGAAAACTGTATCATGTAAAAATGATACCTGTTGAATATGACTGGAAATGTGACTGGGGGTTGGCACATCTTCGATGCATTGTCAGGATTGACACCATCGCGTCTCGGTTGACACGGAAGCCGCGGCACTTCTGAAATAGGTTAAGCGAGCAGTCGGGTTTGGGATGGAGTGAGAGACAGCGCTTCGGAAGTGACTCACGCAGAGGCCTCGTTAACGAAACAACGTTTATTTGTAATAGACAAGAAATTTGTGATCATACAGGGCATCAATAGGGATAGCTAGGCCTAATGTTGTGTTTCGAGAAAGAGAGTTTACAGGAGATGCACATGGCAATAAATACCTTGGGATAATGATGATGTTAGGCAACAGTCTGGTACTGTTTGTTGAGAGGTTCTCTGGATCGCTCTGGAGTATCTTGGTCTTCTGAATTAGAGTTTGTCTTCAAAAAAAAGGCGTATCCGTAGATAAGGAAATATACGTTTAACTGAGTATTCACAAGAACTAGGTGCACAATAATGAAGTGTATCCATTGGAATTGGAATAGGCCCTAGATAGGGGATGATATACCTTTGAGGGACTGGCAACGACTGCCTAACTTCTTTGTTCTGTTCTATATTGAACGGATGAAATCGAGATATTAGGTTGGGAGGTGATGAGAAAGCATCGATTAAACTTCTTTTCTATTTCTAATCATTTAATTTTTTCCTGAAAATCTTAAATTTAAATTTGGGGTGCATCTTAAATTTGAAATAATATATGCACCTTATACTTTATTTTTTACCTGTTCTGTCTTGTGGGCACTAAAGTAGCCTTTTAATTGTACCCATCATGAATAGTGGTGAGGGATGGGACTCACTGACTAAAAATTTCCTTGAGTGTCATACCCAGATTTAATTCTGGGCAGACTGGTAGGCTTAAGCCTAAATTGCATCGGCCTTCTTGGTCATGTCATATGTACTAGATATTTTATGTCTTTAAGTTGTGACCGTAGGGTCAGTGTCTCTTTGACACCACGTCAGGATGTGACACCACCGAGTCTCACCGGACTCAGAAATCGTGACTTTACGTCACGCAAGCGGTAGCGGGTGAGCGGTTGGATTCGGAGTAGAGGTGAGGAGAGAGATGAGGAAGTGACTTACTCGGACTCCATAGTAACAAATAAATAACAATTTTAATTATAACAAAAGAAAATACAGATATATTCAATTTCTGGCATAGCCCCTAATTATACTAGGCCGTTCAAGAGAGAGAGTTTACAAACGAATCACGGGTTGATAAATACCTTTCTTTTGGGTCGAAGATCTGTGGTCAGATGACACCGCTGATGGAATGTTCGCTCAAAATAGTTCTGGGTCTTGTCTGTTAACAGGAAGTGTGAAGGCACTGAAGTGGGGATGATATCCTTAATTTAAAGAGGTACGGTATTAATCCTGGAGTCTTGGTCACAGTATTAATCCTGGAGGATGACTTTGGTGGACGGACATTAAAAGATGACTGACCTTGGGTGTTTTTTCCATTTTCTCTTGTTTTTTCTCTTGGGTTTTTCCCAGGAGATCAGGAGGTTGTTGTTAATGGTCTGGCGTCCAATATGGGCACTCTATCGAAAGTTCCGGGTGACACATCACTGACTAGCTGGATCAACAAGGAACCAACTTCGTGGGAAATAATTTTTTTATGGCTTTTAGCCTAACTTGATAAAACGCTCGAATTTAGATGATTGAATTTCCCAATAATTAAAATTTAAAATAACACTTTATTGTAGGTCTGTTCGTCCCTCACAAAGTAAATTTAATTTATCCCAGAAACATTATTCTTTTAAGGGACAAAGTTAACAATTCACAAACCAGTGGCCAATTGAATAAAACCACTAAACACTGGTGGTTGTGGACAATGTTCCCTCTAATTTTTTTGTCGATGAGTGGAACATATACTTCTCTGAGCAAAAAAAAGTTTTGCTGAGCAGATTCTGAGCAAAAAAATTTTTCTGAGCATATATATATATAATCTTATTTTTTTCTAAAAAAATTAAAATAATGAATTATAAAGTAGAGATTAAAATTCATTTTAAAACATACTTTTATACGAAATATTATCTTTCAATGACTTAATGTATTTAATCGAAATATATGCAGCAATAATCATGTTGCAGACAGAGTGAGAAATAAGTAAACAACAATTCAAATAGGTGTGCATGCTCACCCGCGCAGCAACAATTTGAGCAGTGTGCAACCGCGCAGGCTAGAAGGAACATTGGTTGTGGATTTGTGCCTCATCACATGGAGTCTTTCAGGTTTTCTTCATGTTAGTAACACCTAAATAGAGGCTGGATTCCCTTAAAAGACCTCCCAGGAGGTATTCCTCCCTAGGCAGATTGTCTGCATGTCACATTGCTGTAACCAAGTAAACCTAAACCTAAAATCTAAATAAATCCGCAAAATAGAATTATCAAATTATTTCATTCTATTAATAAATGTTGTGCAGATTTAAAAATAAATAAGAACAACCATTTAGTTATCTATTTAAAAGACAAGCTTGTTTATGTAATTAATAATATTAATAATTAATACATTTTAACTTATTTTTCAAGTATTAATATAGTTTTATTTTTGTGACCTCATTTTTGTATGTTAATTCATTTCTCTTCAATATTTAAGAATTGTTTAAGAAACAAGAGAGTATGAATTTTTTAATATATTAAAAATATAATAAATGTAATTTTTATAAATAATTTCTGATCAATGAGTAATTGTATTCCTACCATAATAGCACAGACTTTTGCATTTAAAAGAACTTAAAAAACTGTGATCTTCACTACTTTGCAAATATAATCTTTCATTTTAATTATAATTACTTATTCTTATTTTTAGTGATTAAAGATAAAGTGTCCATGACAGTTCCGACTAAGAAAACAAGTGCCAATTACTTGTCAAAATCTAAAAAAAAGAAAGGAAAAGAACCAAAATTTAAAACCAAACTGTGTTGGTTCCATTTCAATCATCCTCAGGGATGCCCACTATTGGATGAAGACTGCACTTTTCTTCATCAAGAAGAAATCTCTTGTCCTATATAAAAGAAATGTGTATAATATAAAGTGATATTTTTTTGAAAAGCCCATGAAATTTTATTAAACATAAATAGTTGTATACATAACATATTTTAATTATAACTGTTTATTGTTGCTAAATTAAAATCTATAAAATATATCAAATTATATTGCTTTTAATTTTCAAATAAACATAAATTTTAATTTATTAATATTTGCAAAATTTTCTTTATTTATGAGATGATTAAAAGAAATGGGAATGTCATTCATAGATTTAAGCTCATATTGATATTTAGAAATTTCAATAGATTATGAAAATTATTTAGAATTGATTTTAGAATAAGAGAAATGTTTAATCATTTTATTAAATGCATTTGGAAAAGTGTATAATGTGAAAAAAAATAATATTTGTCAATTTAGTTACCAAATTAAAAGAATAAAATCTGTAAGTACTCCCTTCAAGTGATGACATTTCTCTCATTGTTTTGGCAACAATATACCCATAAAAGTACAGTATTTTGGCTCATGTCTTAAGGCTTTTTTCAAAGGGCCAAATAGGTGATAGTTGCATACTGAAAGATCCAGATTGTAAGCCAGGTGATTCAGATTTTTCCAACCAAGTCCATTTATCTCCTCCATCATTGCCTAAATGATGGGAGAAGTGTCATTGTGTGGAGGAGAATATCTAGAGAAAGAAACATAAATTGGGACTATGTAGGGTATAAAGTTCTATTACCATTACTGGAATTCTGGACAGAAGTCCAGAATTCCAGTAATGGTAATAGAACTTTATACCCTACATAGTCCCAATTTATCCTCATAAAAGACAAAACACTCGCTGTTGTATAGATCATACATGATCGCATAATGCATAAAACTAAACATCACATCATTGGGTTGCAATTTTTTATTACAAACAAATTACTTATATCAAATCAAATACCAAATGTAAATTATTAAAAGCTTGCATACAATTGCAAGCTATTACACACCCAGAAATCATATTACAAATTCACACTTGAGACAATCATAAAAAACAATGCGCACAAAATATACTATGATTGAGCCATGATCATAACATAGCAGACATCACATTCATTTACAAACAAAACCAAAATCATGTACATTATAGACAGCTGTACCAAACATCCACAATATACAAAATATATACACTGAAAAAATTAGTAAATACTCAGAACTTGCCCACAAAATAAAGTGCCTTTGGAGAAGAGGTAAGATAATTTTCATGCCAATAATTTTTTTTTCAGCACAGCATCATACCACGTACACTACACAAAATCTAGAAACTAGGATTTCACATGTGCACCACATTACAGAAAATTGCCATACTAAATACATTGTATAGTCAAGAAATTCTTAAATACAGAAACGTACACAAATGAGCAATTATTTATTGTGATAATGTCACAATGCTGGGCTGCAGTGTGTTATCATACAGTATTTTTAATGTATTTAATTTAAAATGAATGTTCTTCATTTTAGTAAATTCTTGCCCCTGTACATCATACCTTTCCTGATAACAGTAGAGTCATGCCAGTCATCTATCTAACCATTCTGGAGGTTAATTAAGGAAGGACAGACAACTGACAGATGGACACCAGTGGGAACGTATAGTTTTGCAATTTGTAAATGGCAGCCAAATGACATATAAACAGTTTTTTCTGTAGCTATGCCTTGATCTTGGTCCGGCATAATACTAGCATTGGTATTAATCAAATAAGATACATTTCATAAAACTAACAATAATAAAATTTTATGCTGATATTATTTTTTTTTTTACTCTCTTTGCCCTACAAACATTAAGAAGCTTCCATTCATGCCTATTGTAAGTTCAGCCGAATTCATAATGCAGTGGTCATAATAGATTGGGTATAATATATTGTGATCAATCTATTCCTGAAAATTTTTTGATTGTCTAGTCTGAATGTATGCAAATGTGAATGTGTGGAGAATATCATGTGATACAAAATTGTTTAGTGAATGATTTCACAATAGACTAATTTAGAAAGAGATAAGGTAAAATTCCAAAAGATTTTTATCTTTTGGAATTTCACCTTATCTCTTTCTAAATTAAATAACCAGATTTATATTTTTTTGATGAAATTTTGTTAACATGATTCTAATCTGTTATGAATCAATATTTTAATTTAGTTGTTATTAAGAATTATTCTGTTAACAATGTTTTAGTGAATTGTTGTATAAGTCACTATAAATAAAAAGAGAATTTGATTAAAAACAAACGGAACGTATAACTAAAAAATTTTATTTTTTGAAAAAATAACTTCCCAAAGATCAGCATTCCTGCTTTTGATATTTAAATGAATGCAGATAAAAGCATTCCTTCCTTATATATATATCTTTATAAATCTTTCATAATGGAATGCTATTGTCTGTATTTTTCCATTCTTCTAAAAATGATTGTAATAATTACAATACCTTTCTTTGACTTTTTCTGTCATAAGAGCCCTAACAGGGCCTTTTTTAATCAAATTCTTTGTAGGTTCAGCCAGACCCAATGGAGATGAATGGTTAAGAATGGGATCTGATATATTAGGACAGATCACTAGTCAGAAAGTCCTGGGGTATTACCTAGATTCAATTCCAAGTCCCTCAGAGTGATAGGTTGACACCGTAACCACTTCGGCTACTTGGCCTCGTGTATTCATTCAATTTGTAGAAGATATTAAAAGAGACTTAAACATAAAAGTTTTAATCACATTTGTTGTTTTAACTATCAACTATCTAACAGCCAGACTACTGCTTCGAGACTCCGAATCAAATTTGGACGGGTTAAAAAACCCCAGAAATTTATACCGTCCGGACACGTCGGGTCCCATCCTACCCTCATCCCTCCTCGCCCAGCCGTCCCATTGTGGGCCTGGTCGAACCCATAATAGCTTGCTGAAAAAGGGTCCTCTTAGTGCCTTACAGGTCAGAGAGAGTTAAAAACAAACTATCAAGTATTCAACCTCAAATAAATCTAACAGATATTCTTTTACAGTATCAGAATTTAATTAATTATCAAACCAACAAAGAGAAGCACAGAACAAAAGTTTAATTTTCCAATTATATAAGTTAATATATAATTTTGGTGACTGATCAACAGATGCATCAATTTGTCAGTCACCAAAAAAATTTTTAATAGGTTGTCTAAAGTATATTTAATCCCATTGAAACATGTTTTCCTTGATTAAAAACAAGTTTCTTATAAAAATATATATAAAATTTTTTATTTCAATTAAAAAGATTTAAGAGAGACAGCAGAAAATCCTGCGTTGACCTATTTGTCTTGTAAACTCTCTGAAATGTAAGGATTTTGAAAAAATTTAATTATGAAAACAAGAAAGTTGATTGAATATTTATTCTTTGTATTAAAAAAAGAATAAATTTAATAAAGTATAATAATTGTATTCTCTCAAGAGAAAAAAGTGTACGAAAGATAATCATTTAGGAAGTGTGACAAATGGAAAAAATATTCTTCCAAATAAGAAGGCAGTTGCAGGAAACACATTAAATTCTTATCTGACATCATGTAAGAATTTCTTTGGGGGTAAAAGCTCTTTGTTTTTTTTAATATCTTTATTCTTTATCTCCACACTAAATATTCACAGAAATTAAATTCGAATAATTGAATTTATGCAGTTGTAATGAATAATTCACCGAGTAAAATTTGACCACGGAAAATAAAAAATGCTTTACAGAATTGAATGAATATATTAATATATTAATCAATTCATGAATATCTTCTTACTGATGAGTAGGAAAAAAATTAATTTTTTTTTAAAGTTAAAAATAATTTTCAATAGAACAAATTCAAAAAACAAAGAATTTTATTGATTAATTTTTGTATATTTGAAAGAGTAAAACGATGAAATTATATTAAATCTGTTAATGAATTTTTTGTATGAAATTTTATCATTTAATGAATAAAATAAAATAATTTTTTTTAGTTGATTGGTAATGAGACTAAATTTTAAATAAATTTTTCATGTGGAACTAAAATCTAAATGCCAATTAAGGTTTTATTTTATTCATTATTTTAAATTGAAATTTTTTTAATGGCTGATGAAAATATTAAATTAATTAATTTTTTCTATTTTATTTTATTTTATTTATTGTAAGAAGTAATAAATAAGTCTTAGATTGAATAATTTTATTAAATTTCAAAATTGTTGTGGTGAAAATAATTTAAGATAATTACTTTTTTGTTCGAAGGTTCTTTTCTATGCATTTTTGTCCCCTCAAAAAATTCCAGTAACGAGTTACTTAACTTTTCCGGCAACATTTGGTGGTGTCATCTGTTATGATATTTTATTTTTAAAACTTTTTATATTTTTAACTATCGTAAGCTTAATTTTCGATGTAGGGATGGGTTTTATAAAGAATTGTAAATGCTAAGAACGAGTAAAATCGTCATTAAGTCCGACCCCACTCGAAATATGACACGATCCCGTCTACCTCTAACCGCCAAAATTTAATAGCATCGACCCTCTTAATAAACAAACCTCCTGGCAAAATATCAGAAATTTTCCACAAAAAGCGCAGAAATTATTAAGTTTTAAAGAGGGCAAACAAAATCGTACCCCAGCAATACACTAACATCCATATTTACAGAAAAAAAAACCCGAATTTTTTTGCATTTCTCGTCGTTTCGACGGAAAATAATAAGAGCTTCCTGTCAAAAATGGCCGCTCTTTAGAGATTTTACTTTAGTTAGGGCCTAAATACAGAGCATGCGTTAAGATAGGCCCAAAATTTATACGATTAAGACCCCTCTATAACTTTCCATTGAAATTATCTATTAATTAAACTAATTCTCTAAACTTGACTCGTGGCCCTAGCTGTAGTGTAAACGGGTCTTTCCTTCCAAATGACACGCAAGAATACGAGGCCCTAAGCTACAGACTGGTAACACCAGGCCCTAAAGTGCAGCTTGTTTAGTTTACCCGCACCTCCTGTAGAAAAGATTTATGAACCGCTAATTTATATTAAATATACACGAACTAAATGACCTTATCATTATTTTTTAAGTTTTTCTTTTTGCATAAT